ACATGTTCACAGTACCGCGAAAAAAACTGCTCATCCTACCCCAAAAGACAACTTTTTGGTCTACAGGTGTTCTGAAAAATCGCGTCCAACCGTATATTATTATAAATTTCATCATAAATTTCATCATAAATTTCATCATAAATTTCATTATAAATTTCATCATCAAAGGTTACAGAAGGCAGGGTGAAACGTTGCTTGTACTCTCGGACTCATAGCAGTCGGCTCTAAAAAAAAGTATCCCGAATAATTTTATGCTCGATTTACGTAAATTGCTCTCTTTATGAACCTCGCCCTTTCTCGTCTTACGTGCCGTGCGACTTTGCGCTATCGAAAAAAAAAAAAGAAAAACATCCGCTGGCACACCCTTGATCAACGTCTTATTTGGTTGGTGGCGGGCAGTGACATCATTGGCGCGTAAATTGAAAATGCTCATCGTGCCCCATGTTCATACCCAGCTACCCTTCACACTTCGAACTGAAAGCTGCTTGTGGCAATTCCCCAAAAGCAAAGCAAAGATAGCCATTGAGTCGCATTGAATGATTTTTAATATGTTTTTAGTGTCGTATTGTTTCGCGCAGGACACAAATCATAGAAAAAATGAAACATTTATTATTATATGTTGATTTACACATTTAAATGAGCACCATTGTAATGTGAAAATAATAAAAAAGAAACAACATTAGTAACCATTTGAAAAGGCACACCTCGAGACTGACTGGAGCTTGAGAGTGTGCTATCACGTTTACGCATCCCATATCAGTGCAGTAGGGTCATCACACCGGCACAGACTTGCCAGCCTTATTGACCGGTTCCGTATCAACATCCGGGACTGATGTCCTTTTCCGTTTCCGGGCAGGGCTGCTGCTGTTGCCCTTCTGCACAAGAGTCGTTTGAGGGTTGACGACAGTGCCCTCGCCATCGTCGTGATCGTCCTCCACGACACTTTCGGTGCTCCCGTTGCAGGACCCAACCACCGCGACTTCGGCCTTCTCTCTCGCCAGTTCCTCTTCCTGTTCCACCGCTTCCGGCTCGGCTTCAGCGGGCTCGTTCTTCACCACGCTAGCTGGGGTGGCGGTGGTGGCGGCGGCGGCAGTCTTTCGGGCTGGGATGGGGATTGGAATGGGGATGGGTATGGGGATCGGTATAGGGATAGGGATTGCTATGGGGTACGGCACCATGACAGTGACGGGAGGCAGGAGCGAGGCTGGCTGTCCCCAAGGATGTGGCTGCGGTGGCTGTGGCTGCTGGGGCAGCGCCGGCCCGGGGGCGGGTGCGCCGGGAAGCTGTCCGGAGCAGGGCGGCAGGGCGGCGCCAAGGGTCGGCGCAGCCAGGGGAGCGTGCTGCCCCTCGTGGAAGGGAGGCCTGGGCGGCCTCATGAACATGGAAGGAGATAACCGGAGACCGGACAGGCCGGAGGCGGCGGCGGGGCCGAGGAGGGCGGCAGACATGAACGCTGGATGCGGCGGCCCGGGAGGGCTGGCGGCGGGGCCCGGCGGGCCGCGGGCGGCAGCGCCTGGCGGGAACATGCCCTTGACGAAGGGGAGGCGGAGCGGCCTCCAGTTGGGCACCAGGCCGGGCACCAGGCCGGGCGGGGGTGCCAGCGCTGCGGGGGTGGCTGTGGCGGCGGCCCCAAAAGAGGCCCCCAAGCCCGCCGGGGTGTCGTGCGCAGCGAGGCGGCTCGACGGCGAGGTGCTCCCCACGACCGACGCGGCCGCCGGTCTGGTGGCCGCCACGCTGAGGTTGGTGGCCGCCACGCTGAGGTCCGTCGCCACACAGGAACTGCTGGGTCCCGAGGCAGAGGACAAGAGCCGCCGGCTTCGGTTGCTTCTCACCCTGGAAGTATAAAGGACACGATGAGTTCCACTGTGACTTATTCACCCAGAAAAGGACATTCTAACTTAAATACGATCGAATACGATACTCTAATTGAAAATTCTAAAGAACATGCTAATGTTTAGAGGGTGACCATGCTATTCAAAAACTCTTAACCTCACATCATACTTATGTTTACACACTAAATCCTTATTATGCACTTTGTTGTGCATAAGACTTGCAGGATTTCTTGCAGCCATAACATTATGCACAATTTTATGCACAACTATGTACAGTGTGTGCATAATTATGCACATTTTGTACACGATTATGCATAAAAATTTGTGCATACTGATGGCAGCATGAAATCCTGCAAGTTTATGCACAACAAAATGCATAAAGGTTTAGTGTGTAGGGGGATTAACACGATTAACATACTAATGCAACAATCTTACCTAACATACTAATCTTCAGTATGTTAAGCTCCTAACGGAATCTGGGAACGACCCAGCGCTCGGCTGCCGCTAAATGGCGTCACGGTCAGGTCAGACGGTCTCTTAAAAAACCGTGTTTTGCATTAAACTCAAATTTTGAAATGAAACTAAAATTTAATTTTACTCTGTATGCTCTAAAAGACAATGACCTAAGGAACATGCAAGTCTTAGTTGAAAATGTAAACCATGTGCCAGAAATAATTGGTTCAGTGTCAACGCGCGCTGGCACTAACTCTCCTTGATTGGGTGCGGCAACGTTTTCCACGTATGGTTGCAGTGTTTTCTACGCGGTGCATCATTTTGGTATACTGGCGAATAAATGGGTCACTGATAAAATTTGCCTCATTTCGGAAGAGATCATTCATGAAATCCAAGGGAAAACCTTTTTTGTTATTTAAAATCTGCGGTACTTAATGTCCCGAGTGGTAGACAACTCCCCTGACAAGTGTACACCTCTAATTCTGCCCAATTCAAAATAATTCGGACCATTTGGACCAATTCAATTTAATTCAACATGATTCAGAAGTAATTCAAACGAATTCAAAACTATTCAACTAATTCAGTTTAATTCAAGGCAATTTACATTGAATTCCAGTCAATTCAAGCCAATTCACGCTAATTCAGTAAAATGAAATCACAATTATTCAAACCAATTCAAAAACAATTCACCCAATTCAATCCAATTCAAATTCAATTTATGAGTTGAAGCCAAATTCAAGCCAATTCAAATCCAATTCTTGAAATTTGTACACCCAATTCTCAGGAGCTATCCACCTCTCGAAATGTCCACTCGGCATTCTCTTTTTTCTTAGATTAGGGGCTAACACACTAAAGCTTAGTATGTCACATACTAACCAAACATACTAAACATTACTATGTAACATTCTAATTTCATGCATTAGTGACTATATACTAAAGAATGTTAACCTATGTTAACATACTCGGTTCGTATTATAGTAAGCAATCCACCTAAACATTATTATATTATTTCTGAAATCAAGAATATCATTTTCTGGGTGTAGCGAACATATTAGCTGACAGCTCATAGTAGGTTGCGACAGCTAATGTGTTTTTTTTTTTTCGTGTATGGTCCAATTAATCATACTGACCCCAAGAAATAAAACAATCCGTCGGGGTTGTGGTGATCTTTGTTTACTCGACATCCGGCCAACGCCTGACCCAAACTCATGAACCCCCAACAACGGACAGTGTCATTGGCCCGGCTGATATTTTGTCAGGTCGAAAGGCTAACGCGATAAACGTTGCACGACCCCGAAGAAAACGAAATGCAGCTCAGCTTGCTGCACTGAGGACAAAAATCTGTCTAGCGCTGGGAGCTAAACGTAGCATCCCAGGCAAAGAAAATTTAGAGCACAGCACTAATACTCATTGGAAGGGCACCATCCCATTTTGACTGGGGAGTGGGCTTGTCCTCAATGTCATTTAAATGATCAAGTCCCTGATACGCACCCACAGATGAGGTAGGTAGTCGTCCATACCTGCTGGTTCTACTGGCGGAGTGCGCGGGTGGTGCGTCGCCTGGGCCGCTGCTCGACGGGGAGGTGCAGGATGACGCCCTGGTCGGGCTAGCAGTCGGCCGGGCCGGAGAGCACCCGCCGGAGCCATCCACAAGTTCACAGTCCTCGTCCTCGTCGTTGCTGTCCCGCGTCTCATCCGCGCCGGAGCCGTCCTCCTCGTCGGCGCCGTGGTCGGCGCAGTCCTTCATCCAGAGGTCTGGCGTGATGAGCGGCTTGCCCGGCGCTGGCGTGGCGGCGGGGTGCGGGTGCAGCTCGAGGTGCGCCGCCGTTTCGCGACAAAACAGGTTCATCTTGTACTGGTTCAGGCACTTGTCACTGAAACAGAAACGGTGAGTGAAAGACATCTGACCCGTCAATGTGACCGACTTGCCACAACACAATCGAAAGCATGCGACCGCGTGTACCGGGTGATCAAAGGAGACCCAGGTGCGCTCGGGTTTGCCTACTCAAGGGGCCATGGCACCTTACGGGCAAAGCAGGTAGGCAAACCCGCCGGCACCTGCGTCACCTGCGACTTTGCAGCTCCTCGTAAAGCAGGCGCGGTGGGTCGCGCTCCCCAAAAAGAAAATGGCCACGGACGGTTTGCGAACGGTGTGATTTGCCTTCCACCCATCATGGGACACAGCGGCCTTCCCGTCCCGCCGAGGCCGCCAAATCGATGTTCTGCTTTGCAGCCTCCGCCTCGCCATGCTGCGCTTGTCCGCGGCGCGGTGTTGTTTACAGGAATGCCTGGCGTCTCGTTTTCAAAGACGCGGGGGCAGGGG